TTGCTCATCCACGTTGTAGTAGATGCCAGTATTTCATTCCTTTTCCTTACACAGTGTTCCATTTGTGTGAGTATACCACATTATCCTTTCCCAGTTCCCAAACCATCTGATGGACATTTTGGTTGTTTTCAGTTTTGGGCTATTGTGAATAATGCTGCTGTGAACATCCATGTGCCATGGTATCTGTGTTCATATGTTTTTATTTCTCTTGGATATAGATACCTAGGAGAGGAATTTTACGTCTTATAGGAAATAACTTTTTAAGAAATTGCCAACCTCCTTAATAAAACACCTGTACCATTTTATATTCCCATCAACATATTTGGTGAGGGTTCTAGTTTTTCCATATCCTTGTCAACCCTTGCTTTTCTCTGTCTTTTCTTTTTCTTTTTTTGGTAGAGATGGGGTCTCACTATGTTGCCCAGGCTGGTCTCAAACTCCTGGACTCAAGTGATCCTCCTGTCTTGGCCTCCCAAAGTGTTAGGATTACAGGTGTGAGCCACCACACCCAACCTGTCTTTTATGTTTTTTTTCATTATTATTATAGCTCTCCTACTGGGTGTGAAATGATGTTTCCTTGTGGTTTTAATTTGCATCTCCCTGATGACTGATTTTGAACATTTTTTTCATGTGCTTATTAGCCATTTTTATATCTTCTTTGGTGAGGTCTGTTTTAATCTTTGGTCCATTTAAAAAACTGGAATGTTTTGTCATACTATTATTAAGTTATATATACGGGACACAGTCCTTTGTCAAATAGGTGACTTCACAGTACTTTCTACGCATCTGTAGCTGGTCTTTTCATTTTCCTAATAGTGTCTTTTCAAAGGCAAACGTTTTGAATTTTGAGGAAGTGCAATTTATCAATCTTTGTTTTTATGGGTCGTATTCAGTGGTGATTTTTGAAAGTAAGGAACTTCTATTTTAACGTGGATAACAGGGATGCAGTAGCTTTTTATTTGCATTTTGGTATTTGTGCTGTTGCTCCTCTTTTGTGTGTAAACATTCAAGAGGCCTTGTTCTGGAAACATTCAGAACGCTGTGTGGAAACAGAAACTCGTAGTGTAATCCGGCCGGGTTTCAAAGCCAACCAGGAGACAAGAGCTATCGATGGTGTTTCTTCATGTGGCTCCTTTGACAGCACAGTCTCTTACTCAGCTAACGGAAATGCCCCTTGAAAAGAATCAAGGGATTCTTTTCCATGGCTCTGTGGGGTGCTATTTTCCTGATGTTGGTATTTTTTAAAGAAGTGTAACTCCAAAATATGCAGATACTGGAAAAGTGATCCTGGGCCTGCTCATATTCCTCACTAATGAATTTTTCCGGGTATAAGAGCATTTTAAGCATACAGAACATTTTATGGGTATGGACTGAGGGTCCCGAGGCTAGGCGGATAGACCAGAATGACGATACATGTATAACTTGCTTTTTCGCGGTCAAGTGTTGTGCCAGCAGTGTGCTTGTCCTGTCTGCCATCGGAAGGTGGGAACAGTGTGATGTAGCAGAACCAGACAACCAGAACCAGACACTAATTTTAGAAGACAAGTAGCACGGATTATTTTAATTGACTTGTTTTTTAGGGCAAGTAGACACAATTAAAGATCATTCTGTCTAGCAATTAATCAAATATGTATTGAATGTATATTGTGCATGGAAATATCTATATGTGGATGCCTTCCAAATTCTTTTCTCCAGCCTACACCCCTCCCCTGAACTCCAGTCTCTATCTCCACAGGCTACTCAACTTGAGCGTTTAATGGGCTTGGGCTTGCCAGAGACTTCATGCCTGACCTTTCCCTCTAGAGTTGCCCTTCCCACGGCCTTCTCCATCTCAGTTAATGTTCACTGTCTCTCTCAAGTGCTCAGGAGAAAATTTGCAAAGGTGTCTACCACCTTTCTTTCACACCCCATACCCAATCTATCATAAATCCTACTGATTCTAAATGTAATGTGGAATCCTGCAAGGGATTCTGGAGCAGAAAAGGGGCATTTGGGGGGAAAAAACCCAACAACAATAAAGTATTGAGTTTAGTTAATAATAATGTTCACCACGGTTCATTCATTGTGACAAGTATACCATACCAACGTAAGATGCTAAAAACGGAGGATTCGGGGTGCAGGGCAAGGGGAACTCTGAGCTACCTTTGCCCCTTTTCTATAGATGTAAAACTACTCTAAAAGGAAAAGTTTATTACAAAAAAATAAGCAAAGGAGCAGATTCTGCTGGCCTCTGGCTCACTCGAGCCTGCGGTTGGTTTGCTGGAGCCAAGGAGATGGCAGGTCTGCTTCTGCGTGGTGGGTCTGGGTGGAGGATGTGGCTGGATCAGCGGCAGCCCACACACGTTTTGCTTCTGGCAGGGCATTTGTTGCCTTATCAGTACTTCTACGCAATTTAATTATACTAACAAAATTGGTAACCTCAAACCAGCTTAGTCTTTATATAATAATTTTGTCAGATAATTTATCTCTCACAAATTTATAGTTCCACTTCATTACTTTTCCTGAAGAACAAAGCTCTCTAATCTGAAAAATAACAAGCGTTTTGTGTTTTAAAAAAAGGTTTTGCTATAATTCATTAATACTACATAGAATGGAAAAATGTGTGTTTTTATTTCACATGGAATGCATTGATCTGAATTAAAAATAAGGAATTTTTTTTTTTTTTTTTTTTAAGAAACAGAAGAGCAGCAGAGGCTGGTGTTATAATGGGGCATAGAGGGGCTAGCACAGGCTCCAAATAAGAGGTGACAATTGGCCAGGCCCTGAAAAATTGCAGAGTTGTCTAGAGTGCAAAGTCCAGCCTCTGGGCAATTAAGGTTTTATGTCACTTCAGTGAATCGAGGGATGCGCTACTGTGAGAGTCGGGCAGGTGAGCTGACACGCCCCTTTCTTGGTCTGTGCAAAAAACTACGGGGGAAGTCCTAGTGTTGCTTAAGGAAAGTTTATGAAAAATTTATTCCTGTTTCCTGGATGCCTGTGCCTTTGACCTTTCCCTAGAGCTGAAAATGTTTGGAGACTTTGCAAACATCTTTAAGAACTGAGAAAATTAAAACAAACTTGCTAACTGCTTTCAGAAGATCTTCTGTATTACAGTTGGATATGCTGAAAGCATAAGATGGGCAAACAGAGGTGGCTGTGGGGTTGCCACACCTGGCATTTCCCCGACTGGGGGAAATTTAACGAGCACTTCAATAATCCTGAGTCTGAAAGGGGCAGAAGGTCCAGGCAGATGATTGCCGAGGACAAATCTAGCTTTGTAAATCCAGGAGTATTGACACAATGATACGAGGGAAAGGTGAAGGTGATATTTCATCCAGTGTTCCCGGTTTATCCTCTCCTTACCTGACCTCTGAAATGGAGCCATTGGCCTTGAAAAGCCTGGTGTCTAAAATTAATATTCTTCCCCATCTGACTAAGAAGGCAACAGCTGAGCAACATGAGATCAAGAGCCATATTAATTTAAACAGAGGCTCAAAGTGGCATTTCAGAGAGAAGATACTTCCTCTCGTAGTGGACACTTGTCTTTTCAGAAGATTTATACGACTGAGAGTCAAAACTGTCACCAGAGACTTCAATAGTCAGTTTGAATTCTGCAAAATTTCTCTGTATCTTCTGGAACGTATGCTCTACACTTGGAATGGCTCAAGCTCTTCGATGTTATCCTATCAATGGTAATTATCTTTGTTTATTGTTATAACCTCTCAAATCTCCTTCCCTTTTTTCTAAGTTACCTTCAATAACAAATTGTACCAAACTTCAGGTAGAGCTTAATATTTAATATTTCTTTGCAAAATTATTGTATCTTAAACCTAAACTTTTGTTTTAATGCATTAATTTTGTGTGGCTTCCTGATCCAACTTGAGTTTCATCTGCAATTAACCATAGTATTTTAGTTGTAGTTTGCCTTAGAAATAGCCATGCATTTGTTTCCTTATTTTAATAATTTTTTCAGGGCAATTTGAAAGAATGCTAAGCATTGTCTGTGATGTATCTGTAGAGCTCTGGTTGATAGTATTAATATTTGCATTTTTATTTGTTTGAATGTAAGCTCCTTATGTGGATAAGTATAATTTTTTAGAGCAGTGAACTTTAAACACTTTGGAACTGAAGAGTGTCATTTTACTGTAGGAGCTGAGAAAACAAAATATTAAGTTTTGTGGTGAGAATCACAATATGGTTTTTAAGCTGAGAAAATGCTGGAAGAGGCGCTTTTCAGAAAATGTCCACCAGGAGGCCTCAGTTGTCAGCCGTGCGGAACCAGCACAAATTCAACTCTCTCCATCTCCCTGCATCTCTATGCAATCAAGTGATGGGTCCATACAGACGTGTGTATATGTCTCTAGTATCAAAGCGTATTCTGTATTCTGCATCGCTTCATTTGTGAGGAAAGTATTTTAAGGAGAGTGAGAAGACTCTGAACTTCTCGGTACATAGCTGTTAATGCAGAGGCAAAGAAAGGTATCTGGGTGTGCCGTCCACGTGAGAGGACTGTAAGGAAACAAATTTCTTTTCACAAATGAACACCACACATTTTAAGGCATAGGTAGAGAAGAGATCTGGAAAAGGACTCATTTGCGGGAGATCCCTCTGGAGAGGGAGGCCAGGGGAAGCAGGAGAGACGCCTTCTGTGACAAGCGCTTCTCACTGGGCTGCAAAACCTGTGGTTCCAGTTAAGCCCAAAGACACTTTATACTTCACATTTAAAGTGGCCACTTGATCTGCAGCTTATTTTATGCAATGAGGAGCATATTTCATCATCCAGTGAAACTTGACATTGCTTCTTACTGTTTGCTTTTGTAATTTTAAAGTAAAAAAAATATTTTTCCTTTTAAAGTTCCAATGTTGGAAACTCAATATGAATGTTAGTATTTCTTTTCCTAATTTTGGATCCTCTCTCCAGTTTAAACAGAAGCGACTTCCAAATGCTCACTGGTCATTTTCCCAAGAAGTCAAATGTGTGAATGAGTGATGAGAGCTTTCTGTGTTTCCTTTCTCTGCAGTCAAGAGAAAGAAGCACTGAAGAGTCAGAATTGTGTCTTGATTTATAAATCGGAGACAGAGGGAGACGAAAACCACACTCCAGAAAGTAGCTTAATTGGACTCACCACTAAGATGTTGAAAGTGAAGAGGCTGGAAGAATTCAACACGTGTTACAACAGCAACGAGCTGGAGAAAATGGCCTTTTTTCAGTGCAGGGAAGAGGTGGAGAAAGTGAAGCATTTTCTGGAAGAAAATTCTGGGGACCAGGATTCAAGACCTGAACATAATGAGGTAATCATGTGCTAATTTAGTCTCCTAAAAATATTCACTCTGTCTTATCTTTTCTAATGTCATGGAGCCATATATCAACCCTTTCCAAATTCTGTTTTGTACTTGTGAGTACAATTAAAGGAAGTTTATGAATAGGCACCATTCCATTTTGCTTCACCGAGAAGCGTGCGTGTCAACTATACAATTGTGTTTGGTAAATAATTAGGAGGCCTTTGAAGCTGCATTTCTGCCAGCAGTCTACTTCACTTTATAGTTAGTGGCTTAGGAATTATACAGTCAGCTTGCGGAAATGAAGAAGAATCCTTTAACATGATGGATTTGGGCTTGAAATTCAGAAAAGGGCTGTGAGAGGCACAAGCTTTCTGCTAAAAGAAGTTTCTCCTTTCCTCCAGACCTTGAGTTCCTCACAGGGTCGATGGCAGAGCTGTTGATAGTGAAGTTCAGAGAAGGGACAAGAAAGACTTGCTGATGGCATGACTGGGGGGCTCATATCCTCCTCTGTGCAGAACGAGAGCTCTGAGCCCAATTCCAGCTGCTTGTTCTTGGGAAAAATATTAATTTAACCAAGGGCTTGCCACATCTGAATTAGTGAGATAATAGTAGTTGTGAAAATTAGGTGTGATCACGTCTGTAAAGCACTCTGCCTAGTATCTGTAACTAGAGTAAGCATTTAATATGTGTTAGCAGCAGCATCAATTCCCTCCCCTGCCTTGGCCCGGTCAGTTCCTGCCCATCATCCATTGACTCCTTGCCCGGTGGGAGCATCAAGCATTTTGCCCATGCCTTCATTCCAGCACATGCGGTGGTTTTGAACATGTTGATCACCTTTCTCTAGACAAGGCTTCTTAACGTTGGGACCTCGCGTTATTTGTTCATGTTTTCTCAGTTGCTTTCCCAGTAACAGGAACAAATAGGCACCAAAAGTGTTTTTGGAACAAACAGATCCGTTTAAGTGAATTCTGGTTGAGGGTTGGGAACCATTATTTTTGATAATCAGAGCAAGTGATTCTTATCAGGCAGGTCTGGAAAACATCCTTCTTTGCCCACCTACTGTTCTGAAAAACACTATTCAGGTAGGAAGGGCGTTTCTAACAATGCAACAGACAATGAAATAGAGATATTGTATATAAAAGGGCTAGGAGGCTTTTTATTGTAAGTGAGTAAGAAACGACAAAATGTGCTGGAGAATGAGTCAGATTGAAACAGATTTTTTTGAGACTTCTGCTTTCCCCATGAGTTCAATATAGACCAAGTAGAATTATCTACGGGCAAAATCAAGTGAGACATGACTTTCTCGTTAGGGTTCTTAGTGGTACAAACAGGATAATTTTTTCTGTTTATTAATTTCGGTAGGACAGAGAAGAAAAAATATTCTTCTTGGATAACTTTGAAATCATCAACTAACCGTAATAGTTTATATGAATTTCGTTATCTTTCAAGTACTGTTTTTCTTCAAATTCTGTGATACAATTTTTATAAATGGGCAACACTCTAAAGAGTGAGAGAAGCTGGATGCAAGGACGCACGGCTCACACCTGCGATCCCAGCACTCCGGGAGGCTGAGGCAGGAGTGGACGCATGGCTCACACCTGTGATCCCAGCGCTCTGGGAGGCTGAGGCGGGAGTGGGCACGTGGCTCACACCTGTGATCCCAGCGCTCTGGGAGGCTGAGGCGGGAGTGGGCGCACGGCTCACACCTGTGATCCCAGCACTCTGGGAGGCTGAGGCGGGAGTGGGCACGTGGCTCACACCTGTGATCCCAGCGCTCTGGGAGGCTGAGGTGGGAGTGGGCGCACGGCTCACACCTGTGATCCCAGCGCTCTGGGAGGCTGAGGCGGGAGTGGGCACGTGGCTCACACCTGTGATCCCAATGTGTTAGCAGCAGCATCAATTCCCTCCCCTGCCTCCAGGAGTTTGAGACCAATCCAGGTGACATGGTGAGACATCTACTTCTACAAAAAAAAAAAAAAAAAGTAGCCAGTCATGGTGGCACACATCTGTAGTCCCAGCTGCTTGGGAGGCTGAGGCAGGAGGATTGCTTGAGCCCAGGAGTTCAAGGCTGCAGTGAGCTATGACCACACCACTACACTCCAGCCTGGGCAACAGAGCAAGACTCTGTTTCTGAAGATAAAAAAAGAAAAAGAGTTAGATAGTGCTAAGTTAGAACATAAATATATGTAGGGATATCAGTTTTGTGATAGCAAACTGCCTCCAGAAGTTGATAATTTGGAAGTTAAATATTTTTAGGGTATTTTTGAGGGAAAACTTGAGACTGTAATTTAACCCCTAGAAACCATCAGAGAATGTCCTTTGTAGTAAGTCTCATATCCCTTCTGAAACTCGGGCCTCCTGGCTTCGGTCCTGCAGTTGACACCCTGCGGAAGGTGGGAAGGAGTCACTAGGAGCTCCATGTATCCCATTCAGTTTCTTACTTGTAAATGGAGAAGGGCCTAGAGATGTCTGCAATAAATTTTCCTGTCTGTCTGCGTCCACGTGGAGAATGGATAGGTGCACGTGTTAGAGGCACAGAGTTCTCCTCTCCATGGCCTGGAGCCCCTGCCTGCCCAGTTGGTGGGTGCCAGGGCAGCCAGCAGGCTTGGCAGTGGGTGGGTGGAGAAGGACATTCCGGCAGCTCAGATGTCTTCAGGTATGCAGACAGAGCTAGATTAACACGCCTTCATCTTCTGCTGGGCAGCAGTAAATCTTTAAAATGCCACTCTTTTCTCTCCAGGGACTATAAAAAAATGCTTGTCGATTTTCTCCACCTATTCCCCTTTCTCTCTCGTCCCTCCTCTCTTTGAGAAGATTAGCACGGCTAATCATAGTAGGAACATCCCTTGTGCTGCACTGGAAAGAATTTACTCTCAATTTCAGGCTCTCTGGTGACATGAAAGCTTTGTTCTGGAATCTTTCTGTGCAATTTCTTTAGAGTCTGGAATTACTCCCCAGTCCCAATAGGGGAAGAATTTTATATAGATTTAACGACTTGTATTTGTTAAAATAGTTTGATAAAACTCAGATTCTCTTTTTTTTTCCTGCTTTTAATCAGATTTTTCTATTTCTTTTATTTTTCTTCTGCTGAATTTATTTTTAACTATCTTCTTTCTCTCCTCTATGTTTTATTGAGTTTATGAAACACTTCATAGCCTACTTTTCTTCCTTCTACTTAAGTTCTTGTTCTTTTAATTTTTCTTTTTTTGTTGTTGTTTTTTTTTGTTTTTGTTTTTGTTTTTGTTTTTTGAGATGGAGTCTGGCTCTGTCGCCCAGGCTGGAGTGCAGTGGCGCGATCTCCACTCACTGCAAGCTCCGCCTCCCGGGTTCACGCCATTCTCCTGCCTCAGCCTCCCGAGTAGCTGGGACTACAGGCGCCCGCCAACACGCCCGGCTAATTTTTTGTATTTTTAGTAGAGATGGGGTTTCACCATGTTAGCCAGGATGGTCTCAATCTCCTGACCTCGTGATCCACCCGCCTCGGCCTCCCAAAGTGCTGGGATTACAGGCGTGAGCCACCATGCCTGGCCTCTTTCAATTTTTTTTTTTGTTTCCTTTTTTTTTTTGAGACAGAGTCTCACTCTGTCACTCAGGCTGGAGTGCAGTGGTGTGATCTCGGCTCACTGCAGCTTTGACCTCCCTGGCTCAAGTGATCCTCCTGCCTCAGCCTCCCAAGTAGCTGGGTCTAGGCATGCACCACCACCCATGGCTACTTTTTGTGTTTTTTTGTAGAGACAGGAGTCTGCCTGTGTTGCTCAGACTGGTCTTGAGCTCCTGGGCTGAAGTGATCCTCCCGCCTTGGCCTCCCAGAGTGCTGGAATTATAGGCATGAGCTACTGTGCGTGGCCTATTTTTCCTACTTTCCTTTTTATTCTGTTTTCTAGTGACTTTTCTCATTCTATTATGTTCCAAAGGCTGTTCAAAGTCACCTAAATTCTACCTACCATGTAAAATTTTAAAAGTTTTCAGCAGATAACCATAGGCCATAATAAACTAGATCTAAACATACATACATGGCGTGGTGTTGAAATCAAGTAAAATTTTCAAATTGGTCTGACTCACATGAGTGATGAGCTTGATAGCTACTGTGTCCATACCATTAAGTTATAAATGATGAACAGGTTTCATAACTGTAATTAGTATTATTTTTGTACAATTGAATCCGGGTTTTTTTCTTTTGTCAGTTCTCTGTTACCTATATAGCAAATAGCCCTTGTGTTGTATTTCCCTCAGATTTACTTGAATATTTAGTAGGATCTCTGTCTCATATACACCACCACACCCCTCTGCTTGCTTAATGAAACACAGGTGTGCTCAGTAATACTCCCAGTCAACCATTCGGCCCTGTGTGCTTCTCACTGCTTTCCTCCGTGTACCACCCCCATCCCTGCACCCGAGGCCCGGGGTTGTCTGTGCTCACCTCCTCGTCCCTTGGTTTTCCCCTCCTTCCTGTTCACCCCCAGTTACTCATCCTCCATCCAAAAGGCATGGTCCCAAGTACAAAAGTAGGACACAGGTTGTGAATACTCACTCTACAAAAATATGTCAGCATGGCCCACTGTTCCACATCCGCGCCTGAATTGATCCTAACCCTTGCTGATTTGTGTTTAAAAGCCTGCCGTCATAGGGAATAATTCTTTTTTAAAACCTGGCTTAAGTTCTTCCATATCCCAACCAGGGAGTATCCCAAAGCTGTGAGGGTAGAAACAAGCACGGCCCCGGCAGACTCAGGACCACACAGTCCCTGGAGTGTTTAAATGGCTGGTACAAATGCCCCCAAGACCAAGCAAAGCAAAATATTTATTAACAGGATGTACAGAGAGATGGAGTGGGTTGGAGTAAAGTGTGGATCTTCCTATTTTGAATGCAGTTGGTGGATTTAACACCAGGTGGCATTTCCTGACCATCTGCTGTGAAATTGTACCATCAGCACCACCCGTAATGACTATAACTTAGATCTCAAAATAACAAGTCTGAGGGCAGAGGTTTTGTGATTTTTAAAGTTACATTTCCCCACCCCCATCCCTGTGCTCCTCACCCTGTAAGGGCAGGAGAAAGCTCCCTGGCGGTGGCCCAGCCTTGGCAGCCAGCAGATGCCAGATACAGTGGTGCTAATTGTCCTTGAACTGGGAACAAACGCGCATTCACGGCGCTGTAAATTATTGCCAGCAGGTCTCCCGATGCCCCTACACCTGTTTCAGATCTGTCACACAAGGCCATCATATTTTTCCTTTTAAAGAGGCAGATTATTTGCTGATCACGTAACTGGAGACGTCCAAGCAGGACTCTGCAAGAACCCCCTGTAATTCGGTGACAGCCACTCCTCGGGGCAGAGCAAAGGGTGACACTACTTGAGAAGTGCTGGTGCTAGATCAGGGCAGGGAAGGAACATATAAGCCAAGCGACATCCACGGCTGCTCCCAGAGAATGGACTTCACACTCAGAAGAAAAGACGTCTGGGTTGTAGGTAGCGTGTGCCTTCTCTCGTCTTCAGTTCTCTGGCGCTTGATCCGGTTCGTGATGACCCGGGGAGGCCATTGGCAGGCTCCTGCTCTTGAGGACGTGCAGGTAGTAAAATCAGTTTGATCTAAGACAGATTCATTTTGTTTGAATGTTTCCAACCTGGGAGTGGCACTTACCAAAGAAAATGGAATGCATGCCCTGGCTGAATCTCTGCCCAGGACCCTGGCCTTAGGGGCAGTTGCGGTAATAATAGTGGCATGTGGCACATTTCAACCTTTCAAACACTTGCACCAACTTTTGGGGAACCTCACGGGCAGGGATTCCCTGTGCATATTAAAGTTGGTGATCTGTTTTTGTTTGTCAGAGCTAAAAATAATGTCCATATCTCTTCATTCTCCTACTTCTTATATGACTTATGAAAAGAAAATAAAACATAAGCAAAAGTGCTTTTATTCTTACTAAGAAATTGATCACAAACACAGCACGTGCAGTGATCAGCCCTTCTGAGCATAGCCTTCTCTGCTTTCTCCTTTGAGCCGTTGCCTGATAATGCGTTTCATGTAACACCATAGCTATTCCGGAATGGAATTCAGTCAGGAGCGTAGCAGAATTCTGGAAGAAGAGAAATAATTCCTATTCTAAGAATGTCAGCACTTTTCAAGAGAGGGTATTCACTTCTGGGAAGACAGCTCGTTGCACATATTTAGCTCTCTTATCAATTAGCATATGATAAATTATTTTTAAAACAATACAGAACAGTTTAGAAAGCACTGTGGAAAACAGTCTGAATCATTGTTCTGTCTGAAGGTGGGTTTATGGCAGTGTTTCTCAGCCTTTTTTTCATTATCATCCACTCCCTTCTAGACCTTTTAGGGTTTTTTCCCCTTAGTTGACTCCTCCCATTCAATTTTAATACCACATATATACTGCATACCTGTTGATGCCTTGTTTGTATATCTGTGCTTTATACAGATGGCAACCCCATGGTGGGCCCCTAGCTTGCACTGTATGCCACCATCAAGGATTGTCCCGCTATACCTAAATATTACAGATTTGTAATATACAAATCTTACAAAAGAGTAAGATTTTTTTCACACACCCCCAGAAGAACCAATTTTCATTCCTTTGGGGTGCTGTTGGCCCATCGACAACGCATGCAGTTAAAAAAATTTCTCTAGGGGAGTTAGACAATCTATCTCTGTACCTGTGTATAAATGCCATATTTATTTCTTATTCAATAAGAAACCACCAACTCTGCCTCTTGCTGGTGTTCAGAAGTCGGAGAGGAGTTGGGCTTTCCCCATGGCCTGAGCCTTCCCAGGGAAGCTTTCCACAGCAAATATTTCTGGAGCATCAAGTTCATATTAAGAGGAATTACCCAGTCTTGGAATGGCTTGTCAATCATCTGATCTGTCTTAGTTGAGGACAAAGTGAAAGAGATGGAAGAAAGGAAGATTTTTTTTTTTTTTTAAAGTAAGCAATCACAAAATGTTATAATTCTCTACAGGTCTGACCTAGCATCATGGTAAAGCCTATGTTTTTAGGCAGTCACTGTTGCCCAAGGGTTAATCATTTTTCGCTGTTTGTCGTATCTCCTGTGGGAGATGCCAAGAGAATTACATTTCTCCTATGGGAAGTACTATGAGGGTTTTCATCTTCATCTTCCATGTGGAAAAGAATGTGTTACTCACTCAAGCTATAAGATTGTAGCCCTCATAGCATTTCCCAGTGACAAAGTCAACAAGTTTTGTGAGTTAATTAGGAGTATTGTAGATGTATATTTCAGAATGTTTTTGCAACTTTTTAGCCATAAAGAAATCTCTCTTAAATTAGAGTGTACATGTCCTCATAGCTTTTCTTATTGCTAATGGATATTCAGAAATGTGAGCAAACTATTGTCTTTGAAATATCTACAAGCATAGCAGTTTTAAGAACTATCTTTTGTCGCGGTATCAGTGAATCCTATTTATGATATGAATGTGCTCTATCTCCATTCAAGACAGAGAGCAATAAAAACGTTTTCCAATGTACTGTGTGTAGATACCTGCCCATGTAAATTCTGAGTGTCCTTGACCAAACGCACAGATGAGTCATACTTATGTCTATGTTGTTTCAGCTTCTTAGAGTAATTAAAATTATGATAGTTTTATGCCATTTCTGTTGTTTTAACATGAGAAAAAGATCTTTATTTGCTCTCTCTGAAAGTTAAAACAACATTGTCAAAAACACAAATGTTGCAAATCAAGTCTGTGTTTCCAAGTAAGAGAATGGTTAGCATACTTGATAACAAAGTCCCTAAATATAGATGCCCAAACTACGATCCTATCCACTTACCTAAAACATAATGGCCATAAAATGCACGTTTATCTATTCGTTTTCCAGATCTTATTTTCACACACCACTATCATGATTTTTGCTATATTTACGTGTATCTTTATTCCTGTTAATATTTTTCATATGTCGAGTCATTTAATACATTTTTAATCAAAGCAAAAATAAAGTGAAATCATGGTTTTGATGTTTTATTTATAGATTTTCTAATGCACAATAACACACACATAAGTTTTAAAAATGGATTGTTACTGTATGATCTAAAACCACCTAAAGCCTCTTGCAATGAAGTGGCCCAAAATCAGTCTCTGGACATCTGACTCAGGAAGCTATTCCAGGTCTTTGCCCTGTGGTATTCGGCCCTTTCACTTATTTCTCATTTTCTGTCCACCACATGGCGACAACAAAGACCACTTCCCTCAAGACAGCAGACACGGAGAAGGCAGATCATAGGCAGCGTTTAGTATAGAAAATAGGTAACAGGTAAAGTTTATGTAGGATTTCTTATGTACCCAGCACCACGTCTCTGCGATGTCATTCCTGAGTTCCTACCAGAAAGCAGAGCCCAAGCATGCATGAGGGTGGCTTGTTTTGTGAACTGACTCCAGGGAATAGGTGTAGGGGCTTGAGGAGTATGAAACAGGGAAGGAGAGAAGCCCCAGCAAGGTTGAGTTGCCAAGCTGCCTACTTCAGACAGGATGACCTCAGAGCCGCCTACCCATAGGACTGACGCAGGCACTGGCACTGATTCCCTGGGCGCCATCTCCACCATCGGGGGGTCTTGCGGGGTGACTGTCCCCCTGGCATTTTCAGTTGCATATGCATAAATGCCAGTTCCCAAGAAGGTCCCGCAGCAATGCCAGAGAACCCTGGAAAGAGGGTGTAATGGGTGGCCTGAGGTGAAGCACTTTCAGACTACACTTCTGTGGAGCTGGTTACCACAGTACTGGCTGGAGCAGAGGTGGGGGAGAGCATGCGCGGAGGACGAGGAGAGGTGCGCCTGTTCTGATGCCTTTAAAGTCTCACTGTCAGCCATGAGGTAGGTACTATTTCCTCCACTTCACAGACCCAGGAAGGCTCACTGACCTGCCCAAAACCCACATACAAAAGAGTTGGGCTTTGAACCCCGTGGTGGGCCCCTAGCTTGCACTCTATGCCACCATCAAGGATTGTCCCGCTAGACCCAATTTCGTCCTTCACAGTTAAATATCCTGTTCAAGATGAACCACGGGAGTCAGGAGATGCAGCTTCCAGTCCTGGCTCTGCCCTCTCAGGGGAGTTCTTTAAGTCCTTTACTCAACAGTATATGCAGGTCAGTTTCTGCAGCCCCGTCTACTGCACGGCGTTGCTCTTACGGCCAAATAAAGTACCATGCCTGTGTGAAAGTTCTCTGTAAAATGTAAAATGCTGTATGTTAGTACTGCTGTCAGTACATTTCTCTTATGTGCTTAAGTATCTCCAGGCCCTAGGTCTTCTTAAATATGGAGATACAACCTGTACAGTGCATCCTGGCATTTTATATTAATTTTAATGATTTTTTAAAAACCTCATTGGCCATTTTTAATAGGGAAAAGTATCTGATTTGCCAGTCCATTGAGGGTGATAGCATGCTGCGTGCTCAATTGGATACCAGTATAAACATGACTCATGGCTTCCTCCACTTGGGGTTTCAGATGCTCACGGGTTCTCATGGCATTCCCATAGTGAATGGGACACTGAAGGCTGTGCTCTGACTCACAGGCTGTGACTCAAAGATTAGGGACCTTAATGCATAGATCCTAAGGAACTTTGGGGGTCAGCTCATCCAAACCCTTCTCTGAAGAGAAACTGAAAGTCTGGGGGAAGTTAGATGGACTCACCCAAGATTCCTTAGTGTCTAAGCATTTCTTTAAATATTTATGCCTAGATTCTGTATTAATTTACTCAGCAAATAACTACTGAGCCCCCACTGCACAAAAGACACTGTGTTGGTTCTGGTTGGGGTCTCCAGTAATGGTTGCCCAATATGATTCTTATTTGGAGGAGAAATTCTTGAAACCCAAAGACAAGTGAGACAGAGCAGGGACTCTTCTTAGGTGCCTAATGGGCACCCCTCCCCTCCAAGCGTGGAAATAAAAAAAAATTAAGTTTCTTCAAAATAATTCCAGACATCTAGCTAGCCCTGAATACTAAACAACTTAGTAAACAAGAAGGTAATAATAGCATAAAACATAGCCAAGGAAGTTTGAGTGACAAAATGTTTGGTTCCCTATTAAAACGAAATATAACATCTTAACATATGTCCCTGCGTTGTTTTTCAGAAACCCAGATCCACACCAAGTAAAGAAATGCCATCTGCTGGTTCATAGACCTCAGATAAGGGGGAACTGAGGACTAAACTTTAACCACTGCTCTTTGTTCTAAATTTCTTCCTGAGAGGCCTGGAAGAGGTCATGCATAAGCCAGACCTAACATTGTTTTCTGCTCTTCTTAAATTTTTAGACAAAGCTTTCCCTCCTTAATCAATCACAAATAGGAAAGTCTTTAAATCCATCAATGATCTGTGGGCCTTCGCTTCATGATATTCCACCTTTTTAGGTTAAACCAACGTAGAGCCTCAAAACACTGATTTATGACTTTGCCTATAACCTCTGCCTCCTGTCTTCAAAAACGCTTACCTGTAAGCCGTCTGAGAGTTTGGGTGTTAAGTATAAACTGCCCGGTTCTCCTTGCTTGGCAGCCTACAATAAATGCCTCTCTTCTCTCGCCAAAAGCCCAGGGTCAGTCTCTGGCTTTGGCTTTGCCGGGCCAGGTTGGCAGACCCAAGTTTGGTTCGAGAGCACAAGTGGTTTCACCTATTAATGGTGACTGATGGTCTTAAAAAGAGGCAGAATCTGTTCAAACAGGATCATTTCTTTAAGAGGTAAACATAGATACATAATTCTGTTTGTGAAGTGCGTTTGTCCTTGATACAGAGATGCACGCCCAATGTTAGGATGTCCCTCAAGACTACTTGGCAATCCAAGTAATTTAGAAACTGAAAAACCGACAGGGACAAGTGTGAAGTCTTAATTCTTTTCTGCCTGCTAGAACGAGCATGTTGAATTGAGATGATAATACAGATACGTTTCTTTTCTGCCTGCTAGAATGAGCATGTTGAATTGAGATGATAATACAGATACGTTTTTACAGTCTTAAAGTTGTGTTTGTGTGTAACCTATTTTGGATTTAGGCTTTTAATTTGGGTATATTTACTTATTCACTCATTTTATTTGACAAATGTGTAAATGGTTCTTACTATGCTCCAGACCTGATTCTAAGCGCTTTGCAAATGTGAACTCAAACACTGCCACAACCTCAGGAGGTAGATACCCCCTGGACTGGCTCAATGGATGATAATAGTGAATGCTAATGTTTCCTGTTGCATTAACTGTGTTCCAGGCTCTGTGCTAAGTACTTAGTGTGGAATCTTCACAGTGGCCCATGAAGTTGGTATAATTCTTTTTTTTTTTTTTTTTGAGCTGGAGTTTTGCTCTTCTTGCCCAGGCTGGAGTGCAATGGTGTGATCTCGGCTCACTGCAACCTCTGCCACCTGAGTTCAAGTGATTCTCCTGCCTCAGCCTCCTGAGTATCTAGGATTACAGGCACCTGCCACCACAGCCAGCTAATTTTTCTATTTTTAGTACAGACAGGGTTCCACCACGTTGGCCAGGTTGGTCTCAAACTCCTGATCTCAAGTGATCTGCCTGCCTTGGCCTCCCAAAGTGTTGGGATTACAGGTGGGAGCCACCGTGCCTGGCCGAAGTTGGTAGAATTCTTATCTCTACCTTGTAGGTGAGCAACCTGAGGCTTAGTGAGGTCAGGAACTGGCCCAAAGTTATGAACCTATATACCATCTGATCTTTGAAGGCATTCACTTTCCCTACATATGAAACAGGTGCTTAGGTGTCTTTGTAGAAATTTTAACTGAATTAAAAATATTTATCAACTATCAACAATCCCAACAGAGTGGGACATATTTTACAATTGATAAACTTACACTAACATATCATTATCACTCAGAGTCCATGGTTCACATTAGGGTTCACTCTTGTTACGCATTCTGTGGGTTTGGACAAATATATAATAACATGTATCTACTGTTACAGCAACTTAAGAAGTGT